TAGTTCATCTTTTACATCGTTAATGACACTTTATGACCAAGTACAAACTACCGTACTGCGAAGGCGGAGTTTCCGGTACAAGGTTCATTCTGTTAGTGAAAACTTTCACTTCTGAGTGCAGATCGGTCGTAACTCATGCGGTGCCACTACCTCGAAGGCTGTCAGAGTTCATCATCAATGCACTCACGTTTGATAAGAACCGGCTGCTGTAAAATTCAGCCACTCCTTGAGGTTATTTGCTGGCGCGTCAGCGGGCCCAGCCGCGGCGTTGAATGGCGTAGTGTGAATTTAGCGGACCAATTAACCTCACCGTGAGCTGGTAATAATTTTCGATTAGGTCATAAAAACAAAATTTGAAAATTTACAAAATGATCGCGTTAATTACTCGACGCTACATTCAATGATAAGTGCCACTCAAGCATCTGCTTATGTCTGACGCGTCGGGTAATGAACGACACGCTGTCCAAAGCACTGAACACATCTATCATTAATGATGTTCCTGGCTTGTCCCATCTTTCATACTGTAAGCGGTTAAAGTGAAAGGTACAGAAAAGCATTAAGACCGGCTGTTGATACTACCTTAGCAAATGCCCTGTTTGAATGAATGAAATATTGAAGCCATTACAGCAACTGCCTCATTCTCTAAGAATGAAAAAGAATTATTATCTCGCGTAAATTTCTACGATCGACTGTCTCATCTTAAGAAAATCTGCCACGGTGAACAAGAAGCCCTTACCGTCTTTACGATTCTTGTGGTTGCCGCAGTACGATCGAACGTTTTCACGAAACGCGGCTTCAGGTGCTGCTACTAAACATGAGAGTGACTCTGGTTCTGGTCCCTTTGCTGAAATTGCGGATGATTTGCACATTCTTGTGCCTCACGGGCCTCCCTCAATGCAAATAAAGTCTTATCGTCTCTGTCACCAGAAAACCACTTCTCCGGCAGACGGGCAAGGCTGTGGAGGTAAGGCTGTGGTAGAACACTTGATCGATCAGTTATATGCGCTGCCCACAAGTAAGCTGTTCGATGCAGTTTTGAAAACTATCAAAGAATGCTTTGGAAGTGTTTGGCAAGATTCACAGTAATGAATCGATCGTCTTCACAAAATCCTCAATGCCCTCAGATGAACGCACTCGTGAGGCTGCGAAAACATGTCCCATTTTTTATCCACGCCTCAACTTTGAGGTCTGAACCGGTTCAAATTCAGTCTTCACCTGTTCCAAAAGGCAGAAGCTAGTTACGTGAGGCGGTTTCTCAAAGTCCAAGTCAGATTCCGTTGCATTTTCTTTGATCAATTCCAGAACTGATTTCTAAACTGCCGCTGTCACAGGTGTCTTTACTGTCTGCAAATTTTCGAATACAATTCTCTACGTTGCAAATATTAATGAGCAGAAATTTAATAAAGCAGTTTTTGCATTAAGAACGCTCTTCTACTTGGCTAAGGAAAACGGTCGCTCCTCGCAGATACGTTAGGACCGCTGCACCAACGCACTATAGCCTCTGGGCCTTTGGTAGTGATAAAGTTGACCTTCTCAGTTGTTCCAAAATTTGTGGGACTGTCGAATCTAGCTGACCCATTGCCTTTTCCAACTTACCCTACCCTCCCACCCCCCGCTCATTCCATGAGAGCAACACGATTCTATTCCTTTGTTCAGCTATGCTAGGTGCAGCGATGACAGCTTGAGTACGAATCGTAATCACCTGTCTAATT